ACACAAGGAAGTAAATAACAAAGCAGTTTTGTTCTTTCAAAGGCTTTCCATGTCATCCATGACTGAAAGTATTTTCTTTTTCCAAGGGTTTTTCATAATTTGTTAATTGTGGTGATATTTAAAGGATAAATTACAAGATGTCATTCGATGATTATATTTGCAAACTTTTTCCAGTAGGAACTATGGCAGATCCACTGTTTTTCGGTGCAGAGCTGTTCATGTAGTTACAAAATTTCCTCGGTGTGTGGTGCGGAAATTCTGTCCACCCGAAGGAGCACTGAAGCTAAAATGATGTAATTTGGCCTTGCAGTCGGGTCAAACATAAATCAAGCAATAGACTGCATTAAATTATGCATTTAACTGACTGGACAAATAACAGTGCAGGAGATTAAGATGCCTCACTCTTGGCCCCAAAATTATCTACGGTATAAGGATTTTCTGTCTTTCTAACCATAAGAGCCAAGATGTCAACCAAAAATGAGCTATGTTTTTATGATGCCCTTTTTATATCCTCAATAAGCTTCTAATATCTTTAAAACCTCAGCAACTTGCTGCTTTAGGTGGGTATTGATTTTTAGAACAAGAGGTTCCTTCACATCCATAGTTATCCGATTGGTTCTAACCTGTTTCTGCTGACCATTACTCCCACCTTTTATATCAGGCCCTAGTGATTTCACATATAGATAGAAGATATGGATTTTGTATAAATCCTATTTCAGAAAAGTTCTTATTCATATTCAGAACCTATAGCATGTGCATTTATCAAAGTATCAAATAAGTAATAAGGCTACAATGTACAGTGTCTATTGTGGACAATAGTATTAATATATGTTTCACAATATAATTTTATTCAATAACGATATATTTAAACATTTTTTTGATATTTTGATATAAACTGCAGTCTATGTCTACAGCGTTTGTCACGTTCCAAGCGCAGGAGATTCCAGACGAACAGAACCCAGCACACTGGCTATATAAGCGATAATATATCCTATATACTGGAGCCCATGCTCTGCAACGGTAGGCTGTGCTGTTGTTACCGCACAGCTGCTAAGCTTCAAGGTGGTACATTTTAGCTACAAAATGAGTGCACATTAAACACAGTCATGATCAGGAGTAAGGATCAGGAAATCAGAAACATCAAGGAACTCTAAAAACACTTTGACCACTAGCTAGAGAGAACAAGACTAATCTGGCCCTGATGACTTGGTAGAAGCACCTTAAACAGAGTAGAGTTGAAAAAGTGAATGTAATGAATAATTAAGACAGTCATCAGTGCCAAGATCATGACAGAGAGAGCAAGAGAAATATTAACAGAATACAATTCATTCAATTAATTTGGGGAGTTTTCAATTGTAATTTTAGCGCTAGTTATCAGTTGTTTTGCCAATTTATTATAACAATTTTTGAACACAGTCTTTTAGGCTTAGGTGTGTTCGTTTGTCTTCTTCGACATATGACAGTAAACCATGAAAAAATAAGGAGGCAATGACAAAAAATGTAAAGAAACATGAGAAGGGATAGTTAATCACCTTTTGTTTTTGAATGTGAAAATTAATTTCATCTGTTGAGCTTGTAGCTCCAAAAACTAGGTGTTTCAATAGTTTCTAAAATTTTATATTGGAGGAGTTTCATGAAATCGGCATCAAAATGTTTAGATGTTGTTTCAAGATTCTGTTGTGGGCTCTGATGATTTTTTATATTGTTTATATCAATATTTGAATTACAGTATAGGGCAAAATTAAGAAATATGTTGCGATATAAATTCCAGCCATACTGTTCAGCCCTACTGAAATGCATTAAAAAAGCTTAGAAATGTTTCTGTTTGTTATTTAATTCTACTGCAGTTCTAACATGATGCAAAACTTTGGTGGCTGATCTGTCCTCATCATTTAGAAATCAAATTACACAGGAAACTATATAAAAACTGTTAACATAAGAATAGCTCAGAACTACATTTATGCAGCAAAATTTAAAAACAGGGGCAGAGAAGAAAGTGGAAGAGGTCCTTATTTGTCCTAAAAGTGAGCACAACCTATTTGGACTTCCTGAACTGATTATATAAACCAGATCATTGGTGAGGTGGTAGGTACTTGGCAGCATGAGCCTTAGGTTGTTTCCATACTGATAAACACCTGGAGGATACATAGCATGCATGATCACACCCACTGACGTACTAAGTGTGTTTGTGGTTTGGAAATATCTGTTCAAAATAAGATGAAAAAAATATATAAATACCACAGCAAAGAGTGGAATTGGTCATAAATAAGCTTAAAGGCAGTAAACATGTTCCTGTCTGTTTACACCCATGGGCTGATCACTTTTGGCAGTGTGCTATAAGCCTCAGAGCAGTAGTTTTAGGATTACAGTTCCAAACTTGCTGAGGGAGAACAGCCAGCTCATGCACTGTTTTGGAGGTTGTTTGGGTGGGAGTAAGGTTTAGGGGCTGATGACTGTGTTGCCCCGTGCTCGCAGCTGCCAACACCAAAAACCACTCATGCGATCATGCTTTCACACATTTATTAAAGAGGTTTTGTAAAAGCTGAGAACTGCTGCAGCTCCACTTTACATTTTTTTATTTGTTTCAACCAATCTGCTCAATTTTTTTGTTGTTTTTTAACTTTTACTCTCTTTAACCTGTGATTTTTTTCAACATATGATAAATTATACATTGGAAGTAGGTAAATTATACATTTTAAGGTCAAATTACAAAAAGACACTTACATGGTATCTATGGATTATTTATATAGAGGTCATAGCATAGTTTCAACACATTAATGTAATCTAAAGACAGTTTACCGGACAAACAGGTCCCATTCATATTAAGTTATATAAAACCTATTCAATTCAAATCAGTCCTGTTTATCTCAGCATAATATAGTCACATAGCCGGTTTCATTTCCACTCATAAATAACCCAATTTTAAGCTAAATATAATACAACACAGTCCAGTTGGTCACAGAGGGGTAAAGGTATCAAATCAAAGCTGTATGTATCCTGTGATTGCAATGGGATAATTAACTTTATAACTAAGCTAAAGGATCAAGTATGTAAACTAACTTCTGCCCTCTATTAGCACAAAACTACACCCCAGTTACCCATGAAATTACTCACAGGAGTCCATTGAATCCATATTTAATTGCAATTAAAGAACAGATATATTCAAACGTTCCTTCGGGTTTTAATCTGGCAGGTTACAAAACAAGTTCAGCTCTTTCATTTACATCATCATCTTTTTCTTATTTTCACTTCTAAAACTGAACATTTTTTACTGTCGCGTGACATTCCTGCTCTGAACTCTGGCTGCCTACAGAGGCTGTTAAATGTACAAACGATAGACTGTGTCAACTGCAGATATGCAAAAACATCTCTAAATTCTTTCTCATGTTCTGCCTAAAAACCAAACAAAGTCATAAATTTCCTTTTAGCTGCATGTATCTGGTTCAGCAGTGGAGAGAGATGAGAAGATCATTGAGTCATTCCTGTGTTTAAACTTTTAAACTCAAGTTAACCCTTAGATTTTACATATAAACTGGGTTAATATATCAAATCTGTACTACAATCAATGAAGGTTTTATCGTGAACATCTTAGGTTACGAATATATACTAAAAACATGTTTCGTTGTTTCACATTAAAACATGATATATTTTAATGGAAAAAGAACACAGCAATTAGCAGCAAGTAACAAATAATGCAGATGAAATGTAAGAATGCCGTCTGGTCCTTTTCAGTTCCTGGAACAGAATTTCCCATTAACAATGTTAAATAATAAAAAAGTGGCTCATAGGGGGACAAAATGGGTCAGAAATACGAAAAACTTTGTAAGGAGTACAAAGTTTTTAAGATGAGCAACAAGAAATATCTGTAGACCATATGATAAAAATGCTTTAAACAAATATTTAACCTTTTAACCTACTTCTGCATGGAGTATAAGTGATTTAAACTGTGAAGACTCATAAATTAGGTGTTAACATATACTATTTAGTAATTACAAATATAGAAGGCCTTTAAATTTAGTGATGATAACGGTACCTAATAAAATATTTCAAAACTGTTGTCATTAGGCTTTTGGTTTATTGGTTTCCTTTGACAAAACTGCTTAACGTTAAGGAGACCTTTCTCAATCTCTCCAACAGCTTTATTCATAAATTATTACAGACAATTCACAGCAGAGAGGCTTTACAAGAAGAGATTTTTTTTCCTGGTTATGAGACAATTTTACTGACATGTAAATAGCAAAACAAGCTATTGTTATTTTCCAAAGAAAAATCTAACCACCAGGCACCCCACTGTAATCTGCAACCTGATGTTTTCTTATTTCTAAAATGACAACATGAAATCATGCAAAGTGTTTTACTGTACGGTCCTAATATTTCAATAAATGCCACTAATTTGTTCACGTTTACATTGCTTTTACAATGAATCTGTAGAACACTAAACCTTTAAGTTGTGCCAACAAATTCGTTTCTGAAGGAGATCGCAAAAATGAAATGAGAGTAACATGATCGAGAAATAGAAGGAAAAAAAGAAGACACATGCAGTAGTAAATATGCTTAGGCCACATTTAAACACCAAGGTAGTAACAGAAACCCCATGAGACCGACTTTTTTCATGCTTTTTTTCCTCAACTAGGACTGAAGCCATACTGCCCTGTGAAGCAATATGTAGCAAAAGCATGATGTTGTTTGGGCCTGTCCAAAAATCTCTTTAAGAAAATAAACCATGCCAACTCAACGTTCAAAGGTTTTTAACTCAGAAAGGATCTGGCCAATTATTGCAACAATAAAATGTACTGAAATGGTTTTTTAATCATGACCATAGCTTTCACCAAAGTAATACTTTATTGTGGTTAGTATTATTTTACATTTTGCTTCATCAGACACATGCTACAGAGAGTTGCAAGCTGAGGGTTAATTTGCAAAGTGCAGAGGACTTAAGGAAGGTGGTGTCATGCATTGATGAACGGTAACTCCATCCTGCTCACAAGCTGATGTCATACCCGTTATGACTCTGGTTTCTTCTTTCCACCCAAGGCTCTGGACATTATTCTTTAACCTCATTCATCCAACTTACTGTCCTCTTTCTCATCCACTTTTTAAAAAAAAAAAAATCAACGTTAAAACTTTCATCAGATGTTCAGATTACATCTGTTATCTTTTTAATTGGTGATGACAGGCCGAGTGAAGGCTTGTTAATTTTTCATGGGATCTGCCTCACTAGCTTTGACTAGAGTGGTATAGCTGAACAGATTGAGAGATAAAGATGATCCTTTTTAGCTTTATCCTTCCTGTAAAGGATCTTTCCTTAATTTAACAGAAAATATGGCTCTGTTTGGAGGATAAATTGTCTTGCTTTAATTGTGCAATGTTGAATCTTTTTTAATGTTAGGATATAAAAATTAAATAGCATTTCAAGTGAAAACATTTTCCTATGTGAATAGAAAATAATTACATTCTATGGTATTGCTGTAAAAACAGATGTAAAGATCTCAATGCCTGTGCTTTTATAGCTTGAGTTTAGTTCTGTGCGAACAAACACTGACAGATGAAATAAACCCCCCTAATTCATGTGCCTGGGGCTTTAACAGAACACAATACTGAAATCATATACATGTCGTAAAACATCTTATGTTTTTTGTCTTTTATGGGATGGTCTATAAAAGAAAAATATGTTCTAAACTTTACTGCCTTAAAGATTTTAAAGGAAACACGCAAAATAAAAAATATACTTTTGAGGCTGTTACTCCTGTAAACCATATATAGATTTTTTTTCCTTCATTTGGTGGGGAAACAGGGGGAAATGTCCTCCTTTTATATTAACAAGGACAGTGATACGAACAAGGAAGATCCACAGCCTATTTTGTGTCTGATAAAATACAACTTCTACAGTTTAAACCAGATGTAACTTGGGGGGGAGAAAGGCTGGTTTTAAGACATTAATTGCATTTCCTTAAAAAAGTATTGAACTTTTCACCCCTGTTTCCTGTGTACTTCAGTGTACTTTATAGGATGCTAGGCCAACACATTATCGTGCAAGGCTATGAAAAGTATTTGGTTTACAAAATATTTAAAAAATGTTGGAGGCCTTCCCCAGGTTTTGTAGACTTACATTAAATCACATAACAGTTAACAACTCTTGCCTTAACAGGTGATATTATATGTGCAATAGAATCCTACTAGGTTTCTAAAAGTTAAAGGCAATCATTTTAGTTTACAAATTTCAAATCTTTTGTGGTGGCTAAAAGAAAAGAAAGAATTTTAGCTGTCGGATAAGTTAACAACCTAAATAAGTTTGATCACAAAACGTTTTTTATTTGGATGCACATTTCCCAAGAAACCCACGAAGCAAACACACCATAAAACACCTCATGCAATAGTCCTTACAGAAAAAAGAGAAGTGTCTCTAAACTAAATCTTCCTGCAATCTTGGCTGGAGATCACAGACGGCTGGAGGTAGGGCTTTTTTTTCTTCCAGCGTTTTATTGTCATTACACTGTCACAAGTAGAGCGCAACGAAATTCACTCACTGCACTTAACCCATCCCCTTGGGGAGCAGTGGGTTGCCATTTGTAGCGCCCGGGGAGCAGTGTGGGGCTAAGGGTCCCTAACCACAAGGCCACCACTCTCAGTGGGTTTATGCCATAACTCCCATCATCAGTAAATAAATCACTATAAACCCAAATAAGTCACCAGAGCTCAAACATTAAATAACAAAACCCTAAATTCTCTATTTTCTTATGAATACATTTTGTTATGAAATGCTACTTCTCAATTTAGATTTCTGATTAATTAATATAGTTCTTTAGACCAACATAAAAGGTTTTTACTAACTACTATTCAAAGCTTTTAATTATCAGACCAACAACATTAACCTCAGTCATGGTGTTGCAGCACAAGCCACACCCATTACCAAATAGCCAATGGGGTCTTGCTGTCAAAAGTACTTACTTATCACAATTAAACTGCTTTTTATTGACATATGCAAGTTGTACTTTAATACAAAAAAAATGTTAAAAAACAACACAAATATATCCCACTAAGTTAACACAGCAGATGATGTTTAAAAAAATGTATTTATAATTACTCAGTCTATTAATCACATGCCACTTCTGCATCTATAGTAAGAAAGGAACTGGTTACATGCGGATAATGAACTGTCAGTCGCTCCTTTCTGGACTTCAGGCTCACAATCACTTAGTCAAACACTTTTTTGTTCTTTGTACTTTTGAAATACATGATTTATCAATTCAGCCCATTATCAAGCCATGCTCAACAGAACTTTGAAAGCTTTAGTATAATTGCAGGTAAATGTGCTTCATACATCAGATATGTATCTAATACATGGTCATAGTAAGGTTTGAAGCTAGGGAAGGGATTAGTCAGTCAAGATGTTTAAAGGCACACTATGCAACATTTTTCAGTTAATTAATGTGTTCCATAACGTTTTGGGTGATTAAATGAGTCATTTCAGGTTGAACAAAGGTATTCTCGGCCGCCCTGGTGGTCTGTGGGGGAAAAACCGCACTTGCAATTGCAGGAGCACCAACCCGCACCCACAGGCTCAAAAGTCTCGCGAGAGTCGGTCTTGCTTTACGGCGAGAACTGCTACACCCCCCAGTTAAAAGCATGCTCGTTGCTAGCACAGTGGCGATCTTTGTGCAGCGCTGCTTTCACACCGGACACAGCAAAATCACGTCTGCTGCTTCATTTTTACTGCTTGTACCAGTTAGTTCTGACGCGCGGCTGAAGCAGCTTTGCTGCTCTGGCTGCGCGGTGCAAAAGTGTGTCTGAGGCGCGTTGGGCGGAGCTTCACTATCCTTTCTCTGCCTTGCAGCTATATTTGCTGTGATCAGTGGGAATAAAGTAGTTTTAATATGTTTTTAAGTGAGAAAATACACCTGAAAACGTAATCAGTGCAGTCAGTTCCTGCAGGTTACAATGCTGTCTTTCTATATTTTTTCTGTCGGAGCCGCTCAGACCCCCACATAGCAGCGGTGCGCCGACAGTTGGAATCCCTTCATCAGCAGCCTCTGGCTGGGTCGCCTCCTCGCGGTTCACGGCGGCAGCTGGTAGGTGAATTTCATCTAAATAATCCAAACTGCAGGCAGCAGGATAATAAAAGCGAACATATTCTGCCGGCAGATTTCTGCATTTTAAGTTAATTTAGGCGTCAATAAACTGTTTAAGAGGAGTGATAATAGCGCTCTGATCATCAGCGCTGTGTCTCTCTCCCTGCCAGCTCCCAGATCAGCTTCTCTGATTGGTTGAGGCGGTGCGTCGAGCAGCAAAAATAAAATTTTTCCATCTCGAGCAGCAGCGCGTTTGCGGCGCGTCACACGCGTCAGATGCTTAAACGCGCCCGACGCGCTGCTTCAGCTGCTCAGACGCGCTGCGCCTGCTGCTCAAAACGCGTCGCGGGACCTTTTGCTGCGCCTTGACGCGCGTCAACAATTGACTTTGCATGTAAACTCGCTGCTTCTGTCGCGCCAGCTGCGGTGTGAACGCAGCATTAGTCATTCGTTGCGTTCGCCTGTCTGCTAAGCTCAAAACAACCGCGCCTGGCTTGACGGAGAAACCAGGAGAACAGCTGAGCATATTTACGACAGTGCACTTTTACTTTCGCCCTCTGGGGGGAGCCTCGCTGGAAAATCAACACCGGTTGCATAGTGTACCTTTAAGTGTTGGATTACAAATGACTCCAGTGTTGCCTCCATACCACGTGGGCAGTTATTAGGTACTGCCACTTTCAATGGGAAATTAACAAAGAGAATAACAGCAGACTGCCACATATAAGGAAATACATCCATTCACACAAGCACAGAAACAGGCACATTCAAATATGGGGGTGCTTCTCATTATGCTGAGCTGTAAGAGTGAAAAAAGGGTTATTGCTTTGAAATTGCACACATGTGCATAATAGAAATTACCCCCCCAGACAGATCTATATGCGAAAACTCCAATCCATCTTTAAACAGACAAAAACAGAAACAAAAAGTAGAGAGTTATGTACTTAGTGGCATTAAAAGTCTTCTCCTTTCCCCTCAGCATGTTGTAGGTGGGTTTTTGATACCCTCCTTCTTGATTTATGACCAGTCACTGTCCTCGTCTTTTTCCTTCTGCCTTTTGCACAAAAATAGACTGCAAACAAATGTAATTATTTGGATCTGCCCCATGTTGCTTACACCCTCTTCTAAGATTTTCCTCCAATTCTAAAGAATAAGGATGCAACAGAAGCTAGTTGTCCATTATGTTACTATCAAAAATATGATTCTATTATTAAAAAAAAAGCTACCTCCAACTATGTTTTAGAAATATAAGGGGACCCATAACCTTAATATGCACAGAAAAAAACATTATTTTATACCTAAACAATCTAAAAGTGTATTTGCCCCCTAAACCGTATGACTGGTTGTGCAAAACTTAGTGGTATCAACTGCTATTAAGCATTTGTGATTGTGTGAATTCAGCAATATTTAAGAATTTTTCCAACCTGAACTTTATTTCCATCAGATGTCAGCCCATACTTTTTCACTAGGTCCATCCAAAGCTGTCTCGATGGGGACAGACTGCTCATCATTTAGATACTGTAGCTCTGCAGCATTAACCAATTGTGGTTGAGCTGATGGCTGCATCTTCTTTATGGTTCTGCTAACTTGTTTAATCAGTTATCGCATAATGCACCAGCTGCTAAGCAGCAAAGCAATCCCAGACCATCACACTACCACCACCACCCTTTGCTGTCATCTTGATGCTGACTTTTTTCTGCAATCCTCCCTTAGTTTCTACAACTGTGAATCCTACAAATGTGTGCTGGCTTTCCCAAACTTTAGAAATATTTCACTTTTCTTTTTTTATATAGGTCTAAGTCAATTTAAAATTTGACTATTTGTTTTTTACCCTTGTCTGATACTGACACTTCTGCAGTATTGAAACATTGCAGTTGGAAGTTTTGTTTCCATTTAGTTCGGTTCCAGCTTCCTTCTCCCACATGTTAACTGGCCCTTGGGCAAAGTTGGTATGACAAGAGAATTGCAGAATTATGAAACATCTGTAAGGGGACAAATGCTTTTCTACAGCACTGTACATGAAATA